AGGGGATTCTCTGGAAATGGGGATATGCCCAAGTTGGACTACAGAGGAGACATTGCCCCATCACCCTGCACTTCTGGGATGGAAAGGGATGCTGAGCAATGCGGAGAGATTAAGGGGGGTTGTGGCTGTGAAGATGCAAGCAGGTACCACCCCAAACGGGTTTGGACTCCCTGTTCATCTAGTGGGCCTCAGCCTCGAAAAGGTCCCTCCAGGTGTTAGGAGAGAGCTCAACCCCCTCCGAAAAGGTTCTGCCCTGGTGCCATGGGCAGTGGGTTTGGTCTTGGGGATGGTGGAGTGGATGGGTCCAGGGCTCATTCCTGGCTCTCTGAGCCCCTGTGTGCCAGGATCCAGCCTGCCAGCATCCTCCTCAGGCAGCACATCCTGCCAAAGGGAAGAAGAGAGAGAAGGAGAAACCCTGGAGCCAACTCAAAACAAAACTAGAGAAAGCAAAACGAGGGCGGTGGGAGGAAACACAGATGTTCTGCAAGCCTACAGCAGGCTCAGAGACAGGCAGGGTGAGGTTCTCGGTGGGACAGGGCGGAGGAGGTGCTATGAGCCTGGACCCCTCAGGACATACCAAGACTGTGCAAACTGGCCATGGTTAGAGGTCCAGTCAACCTGCCCAGCAGCCCATTGGTCCCATCACCAACACGGCACCCACCAGCCCACCCCAGCCTGTCTCTTCCAGAGCCAACAGATGTTTTCCCAGGGAGTCGAGGCCATGGCAATGCTCCCACACCATATTGCCCGACAGACCCGTCCTACCCACAGATCACCCCATTAACCCAGGGGCCAAATAACACACGCACCCCACTGCATCACCTCCAGCCCAACCTCCCCCAAACCAAAACACAGGTCTGACATCTCCCAGAGACCAGGACAGTGTTCACTTGTAAGTGACCTTACTGCCACAGGACCTGACCACTCCTCTCCCCCTGGCTTCTGCAATGTCCTGTTTTGCAGGAATAGTATGTTGCTGCTCCATGCCATGCCTCTCATCAAAGATGCTGCTGCAAGCAGCAGGAGAGGACTTCCTCTCCACCGTCATCTGCTTGCCCAGTTTTCTCAAAACCTGGGTATTGGGCTCAGGTTTCTTTAAGGGATGCTTGCTCACATGTTGTTCCCAATCACCTTTAATCAAGTCTGGGGTATATAAGGGACCAGGCTGGCTGTCAAGCACCTGTATAGGGGATTTTGCTTGCTTAGGTATAGGCTGAAGGCACACACCCAGCTTTCTGCAGATACTGTCTGGGATCAGTCCCAGCTCTCTGAGGTCTCCCAGTGGGATCTGGCCATTCCCCATCAGCAAGACCCCAGCGTGGGACCAGGGGTAAGCTCTGCTCTCTGGGTGTTCCGGTGCAGTCCCGGGGAGCTGACAAAGCATTTTTGGCACGCACGGTGGTGGCAGCCACTCATCGGGGGAGCACTGGGTGGCCGTGGTCGGAAGTGGTTGCTTTAACTGCCAGACCAGAGTGTGCAGGAAGCACAGCAGCTTCAGCACCCGCAGCCGCCCCCTTGGCTGCAGCTGGGTCCTGGCATGGGAAGAGCTGCAGCATGTGGATGGGGGAGATGGGGGGCTGCTTGTCTGCTGGGGTGCCTGGCACACAGTGGCTGTGCAAATGTGGGGGTGTACACACAAATTCGCATGGCGAGCTGTGTGCACCTTTGTGTGTTTGTGAGCATTTGTGTGTGCTTGCACAAAGGGCTGGGGGTGCTCTCTCTGGGGTGATACAGGGAAACAAATATTGTAACCTCCCCAGTTTGGGTGCCGTGCAGTTGTGAGCACAAAGCGTGGGGTAAGGGGCTGTCAGGAGACTCCTCCATCACTCACACGGCAATGCTGGTAAGGAATGAGGTGAGCAGAATCAAACCTATGCCCTGTCCCCTCTGGCCTTGCAGGAGCCATTCCCAGTGTTCTTCTCCTGCTTACACTGCTGTAAGCCCCAGTTCTCATGAAACAGGATGCTGAGGACCAGGCTGGGGCCCTGCTCTTACTCTATTGGTGGCCAGTGGCTTTGAGGCTCAGGGGTTAGCTCCAGTGGCTGTGACGCTGCAGGGAGTGAGGTCAAAAAAACCAGAGCCAGGTGGTGGGGTCTGCCTAACCACCCTGCAGCAAACCTCCTCTCCGCAGCCTCTAAACCAAAGACCACTGAAACTGTGCCACCCACGCCCCTCCAGAGCCAACAAAGCACTTGTGGTAGAAAGGATGTACCCCAAAACTACACCAGGCTCATCGCACTCCAGCCCCTTCTTGGTACAGGCAGGGAAAGCCAAAGGACTTGAGGGTGTCAGCTCAGCCCTTGCTGGAGAACCCGACACAAACTTTAACATCATAAGTGGAAATTAGTTTGCTTGGGTCACTGCTTCATTTGGAGTGGAGAAAAAGGGCATAAACCTGCCAGTTGGTGTAGATAGTGAGCAGGCAGCTGGTATGGGTGCAGTGGTGGGCAAAAGCAGGAGGGCTGTGATGTGGAAGGAGGGGCAGGGGAAGGTGGGATGGTGGAACTGAGCCAGAACTGGGGACTTCTCAGGATGGGAGGTAAGACAACTTCCTGCAGATCCTATGCAGTGACTCCAGGAAGACTAAACCACGCTGGAGGGAGAGTCAAAACAGTCAGCAGCTGCTCTCCTGGCTCGCATGGGAAGATGAGTTAGCTCCTGCACGCAAATGTTTTCAGGTCCCAGTCCCTGAGCAGGATGGTGGGATATGGGGGCTGACACCATCTCAGGGTACCATCTGGTTTGAGGATGCTCAGCTGGGGGCTTGAAACCTGCATCCCACATGGAGCTCATCCCAGCCCTGTTCCCGCTCTGGCCAGCACAGCGCAGAGGAGCATATCTCAGGTCTCTGCTGGCACTGGCACCTTGTCCTTCAAACAGGGATGGGACACGGTGTCTGGCAGCATCCCCACCACTCGCCCCATGTGTCCCTGGGCTTTGTTCTCTTCAAGGAGCAGGATCACAGCTAAGCTGCTGGGGAGCTGAAGGAGCACAGATATTGCCATGGGCTGCATCCTCTCCCATCCCCAGTGGCAGTGGGAGATGCTTTCCTACACCTTCAGCTCCACTACCTGGCTTGGGAGCCTCTGGCTGGCTGCAGACCACCATCTGCCAAGAGGGGAAGGGACACAGCCCTGACTGCTCCTGGAGGAGCCATGGCTGCAGCCAGGGGATACAGGAGAGGATGAAGACCCATCACCTTCACTGCCCAAGAGGCAGGATGGAAAATATGAAGCAGGGCCCACCCTCTCGCTGGTGTCGTGTCTGACGGGAAAGCCAGAAACAAAACTGCTGACTGAGCTCCCACTTCTCACCCGCTGTGGCTGCCTCTTGCCTCAGCTTTCCGCGTGAGCCAAGCCCAGCTGGCCACAGCAGGTCTCTGCCAGAGTGACTGGGGCAAGGAGCAGGGCTGCTGCTTGCTGAAAAGCCCCCACGGGCTGAGCCATGCATTGGTATGAGTGAATGTTGTGGGAGTTGCAGCACTACCCATGGTGGCTTCTGGAATTCTTCAGTGGCACCAGGAACCGAGGTGGGCACCACATCCACTCTCCTGCTCTGAGGGAGGATGAAAACCATTCCAGATTGATGTTCCTTCCATCTGGTCTCCTGTGGAGGTTTCTTGGGGACTTTCCAGCTCCCACAGAGGACAAACTGTGGTGCCTGGCATGCCTTGCCCCTTCACCCCAGGTCCTTGTCGCCAAGAGGGCCAATGGAATCCTGGGCTGCATAAGGAGAAGTGTGACCAGCAGGTCGAGGGAGATCATTCTCCCCCTCTACTCTGCACTGGTGAGGCCACAACTGGAATACTGCATCCAGTTCTGGGCTTCCCAGTTCAAGAGAGACAGAGAACTGCTGGAGAGAGCCCAACGTAGGGCAACCAAGATGATTAAGGGATTAGAGCACCTCCTTTATGAGAAAAGGCTCAAAGAGCTGGGGCTCTTTAGCCTCGAGAAGAGAAGACTGAAGGGAGACCTCATCTATGTTTACAAGTTCCTAAAGGGTGGGCTGAAGGATGATGGAACCGGACTATTTTCAGTGGTTTCCAGCAATAGGATGAGGGGCAACAGGCCCAAGCTGGAACACAGGAAGCTCCACTCAAAAATGAGGAAGAACTTCTTTATGGTGAGGGTGACAGAGCCCTGGAACAGGCTGCCCAGGGAGGTTGTGGAGTCCCCTTCTCTGGAGATTTTCAAGACCCGCCTTGATGCAGTCCTGAGTAATGTGCTCTAGGCAATCCTGATCAGCAGGGGAGTTGGACTAGTTGATCTCTAGAGGTCCCTTCCAACTCTGTCAAATCTGTGTGTGAATCCTGGGCTGGGTCCCACAAGGCTGCGCTGGTTTTACTGAGGGTAAGGGAAAAAGAAACCTGTTGACAGTGCCACCAAGGTGTGAGATGCAAGTGACTCTTCTGTGTTTCCGCTGGGTTTTGTGATCTCCTGGCAGGTCTCTGTTGCCTCCAAAGCCACTCCTTACTGAGGTTTCTCCCCTTTCAAGCAGCTGTCACTTTCTGTTCTGGTTTCTGGCAGACAGCATGGCCCTGGCATTGCTCTCAAGAGGGGAAAATACAAGTTTGGAGCCGGAAAGCTGCACCGAGCACCACGCTGTGAGCTTTGCCCCTGCTGATGACACTCGGGCCACCAGCACGGCAGCAATGCTCATCCCCAACAAGTTGGGTGAGAGCCCCGAGATAAGCCTGGTAAGAGGGGTCTTGGTTTGCAGCTGCACCTGGGTGACTGGCTCAGATGGGCGAGAGGAAAAAGAGCGGCAGCTTCTCTAAATTATTAAGAGCAGCTTTGTGGAAGAGCGGCTTGTGTATCACACGGAGAGGCCCAGGAACCACAACAGACACTGCCGCCTCCCGGCTCTCGCCTGCGCGCTGCCAACAGCCGTTATTTGCCTGCCCACGCGCTTGCCATCGCGACGTGGCACACACAACAAACACCCCGGACGTGAAACCCTTTATTCACCCCGCAGGGCCAGACCCATCTCCCACCTGTGGAGGAAGGGACATGGGGGTAGACTTCCCCTCTTGCAGAGGAGGAAAGTGCCTGGAGACAGGAGGAAAACCAGCCGCCCACTTCCCAGGGCATTCTTTAAATAACAGTACACAAGGTAGTCTCTGCCCAGGGCAAGAAGCCCTCAGCCCTGGCGCCCCACGAGCAGCATCTCCCAGGATCCACTCCAGCTCTGGCCTCCGGAGTTTTGTCCCACAGTTGTGCTTTGCTAGTTGGGTCAGACCTGGGTGAGGGAAGCAGCGTGGCCAGTCCAGAGAGCCCCGGGTGGAGGTAGAAAACTAAGATATGATGTAAAATCACCTTTAGGACAGACTTGTTGGTGTTGCTGCTCTGCCCCAGCCCATCATCCCTGCGCTGAGCGAAGAGGCAGCACTTGAAGCCTAGTAGGGACCTTCCTCATCTTACGGTACCCACCCCATGGCCATGATCCCACCATGGCCAGGACTGTCCAATATCAACTCCAGCAGCAGTGCCTCTGTCACTCCAGTCCTTGTACGCTGGGTTTTTCCCAACAGCAAAGTGTGGTGGGAGCAAGAGACCAGGGCAGCCTGTCCCTGCCTGCACCCCCCCAGCCAGGAGGGACCCCAGCCCTCAGCATGGCTGCAGCTGCCGAGTCCTCTCATCCTGGTGTTTCTTCCCCCGCTCCGGTGTGACAGGTTTCTCCTCTGGGAAGATGATAGTGGCGTATTCAGTCTGATCAACAGGTCGGGTCTCGGAGGGCACCTGGGTGCACTGGTCCCGTTGAAACTCCAGCACACCATAGTCCACAGTGGACACAGACACCACAGGGGGCTTCTCTTCCTTCTGCAAGGAAAACCCGTCAGGGCAATTGATCGTGTGGAGGTACCCACCATCCCCAGCACAAGCCCTCTTTTTACACCAGGTGCCAAAACCAGTTCTGAAGCATCCCAGGAGGGTAAGAGGGACAGAAAGCAGAACGATGCACAGACCTGGGATAGCATTTGCCAAGAGAAACCAGACTCTGAGCTGTGGGGTCACCACCAAGGCTGTGTGGGTCTTTCCTCTCTGCCTCTCAGGGAGGTGGAGCTCCCTGCCTACCTGGCTATTGAAGGCAGGGTCATGCTAGAAGCCCTTTTCCCATTTCTCCATCGGGTTCTGTGTTGGCACAGGAGGCACGAGGAGAGCCTGGGACTGAGTTTGTTCAGCCCAGAGAGGGGAGACCCACTCGCTGCCTTCAGCTACATAATGGAGTTGGAGAGAAGATCATAGAATCATAGAATCATTCAGGTTGGAAGAGACCCTTGGGATCATAGAGTCCAACCATCTACCCTACTCTACAAAGTCCTCCCTGGACTCCTCCTGGCAGTGCCCAGCAAAAGGAAGAGAGAAAACAGGGTCTAGCTGCAGCAAGAGAAATTTCAGCTTAATATATTGGGGGGGGAAGGGGCACATTTTCTCCTATTTTCTACAGCAACACAATCCACTGTCAAAGATAACCCCACTTTGAGCAAGGGTTGGACTACAGCGGTCCCATCCTATCTCAGGCGGTTTTTTGATTGTGTTGTACTGCAGGTGCAAAAAAAAAAAAAGCAGTTGTAGCTGTGCAGAAAAGATCTTGCAGCATCAGAGAAGACAGGAGAAGCGAGAAGCCTGTGAAGGGCTGATAAAGGGAGGCCCTGCACCCTCCACACCCCAGCGATGCCGCGATGCTCCCCTGCAACGTGGCAGGGCATCAGAGACGGAAAACTCACCACTGGCACATTTTCACTTCGTGGTTTTTGCACATCTGCAAAGTAAGCAACACATTTTGTTAGAAGCTGCTTGTGTGCCAAGACAGTGTGAGCATCTTGGGCAGGGGCTGACCAAGCCCTCATGTCCCAGGAGGTGCTGGACACCACAACCATTGCACCTCGCTTCCTCTTTCTCCACCCAGGGTCTAACAGCCTGAGCATTACAAGGACAAGTGAGGTACCAGCCCATGGTCTAGGGTTTAATTTAGTTTAGTGTGGTGCCCCCCTGGCTACTCACAGTGTGGCCAAGGCAATGCCCAGTGCTGCAGCGAGAAGACAAGAAGGTGCCCAGGCAAGGTGTATGTGAGGAACTTTCATGCAGCGTTAAGACACTGTGCCAACAAGTGGTTCAGAGCCACAGTACATGGCCTGGGGACTCCATGAAGGGTGAGAATGGCCCAAAGCATTGTTCTCCTGTAGGCATGGAGATATCTGTCCCATGAGGACATGCCACAGCTGCGTTCAGCACGTTGAACCTGCCTGTGTACTCAGGTAATCAACTGTCTCTCTGCCTCTGTACCAAGCTGCAGACATCTGGCTGCCCCTGGGTTCAAGCTGGGCTTGCTGAATAAGCATCACCTCGTCAGGTTCCCTGGCAGGTCCCCAGCCCCTTGGTGCAGCACAGCTCCCAGTGGGGATCATACCTCCTCTCCTGTACGTGACGGTGAGGTAGCCAAAGATCAGCAATGCAACTGCCCCAGCCAGCAGCAGGATGCCCAGGAACACAGCCTTGATGTGATCCGGGGAATTGCCTTCCTCCAGCTCGGGCTCATCAGTGGCATTTGTCTTCTCAGGGGCTGCTGTAATATCCATCCAAAGAAAAGGGGGGGGAAAACCAGCAGGTCAGGAGTGTAAAATGGCCTCTCTAGTCCCTGGGAAAGTCAACAGGGGAACACAGGGGCTGTCCCCAGAAGAGCTCAGTCCCAGGCAGGCTGCCACAGCCCCGCCGTCTCTCCAGGGCCCTGAATTTGGGCTGACATGGGGGATGTGAATTTGGGCTGACATTTTGGCCATGTCCCATTCCTTCCTATTGCAGGTGGTGAGGATGATCCCACATGATGAGAGCTGGGGTGCAGGGGGCCAGGGCACTGCAGTCCCATGGCATGACTCCATGCCCCAGCAGAGCCACATGAAGGACATGGCTTCCCTAAGTCTCCCAGCTGCTTCCATGTCCTAGGGACAACACAGCTTCAGCTCATGTTGGGAGGAGATGTTGTGAAAGACAGTAACTTTTGCAGTGTTTTTCCTTTTTATAAAAGGCTGCCTTCAGCCCCCCAAAGCCTCCATGCTGCCAAGCAACTGCATGGCATATCTTCCTGCAAGACCTCAGTCTCCCACACCATGGGGCTACATGGTTTTGCAAGAATAGTATCTACATCGATGCTGGCTGTTCAAAGGGGTGAGCCCTGGTTATCACCCAAATACAAGCCCTGTCCCCAGATAAAGGAGCTGTTCAGGGGTGCGGGCACTTCCCTACACCGGTCTCCTGCCTCCATCCATGGTTAAGGACTTGCTCCTCCCCACAGCATCGCTGGGGACACAGCCCCAGCAGAATGGAGACCTCCTACCTCAGGGCCGCATCCAGCCACAGTGCAGATGCAGGAGAGCCTGTGTCCCTATGCTCAACCAGGCATGCAAAGGAGAGGGGAAAGGGTAGAGCTGTGTTCTCCTGACCCACATCAGGTCCTTCCTTATGGGGAAGGACTTGCCTTGTGCTCTGGGGCCTTAGGGCCATAGCACCATGGGATGACACCAGTGACCTGTTCCCACCAGCTCAGTCCCCAGGCTGACCTGTGACAACCAGGTGGGACCGGGTGCTCTCCATCACTTTATTAGGTTGAAAAAAGGTGATCAGCCCACAGTAGTAGGATCCAGAGTCATTCTGGTGAAGGTTCAGGATCTCGATCTTGAAGGCAGGAGTGTGGTTGGTGAGCAGGTACTTTTCTGTCATTGTCTGGGGTTTGTTCCGGCTGATTTCAGCAATTTTTTGGGGTTGGCTGTGGTTGATCTCCTTGTACCAATTGAGGCTGTACTCTGAGCCAGAGTCATTCTCCATGGAGATGTTGCAGAAGAAGGTGGCTGAACCACCTGCAGGGAGAGTTAACATGGCTGGGAAGAAGGTCACTATTTGGGAGAGAGGAAACAAGGAACAGACATGGTCACAGTGGGCACAGGTCTCAGAAACAGCCGTACCCCCAGTGCAGGAACCAGGGATGTAAAGAGGGTGATAGCCCACCCTGACTAGCGCCCCATCCCATGGAGAAGTGATGGGCTCCTACATCCCAAACCCAGAGGTTCCACGAGTTCCTCAGCTGTTTCACCCTCAGGTCCTGAGATCCCTACAGGGATTTACAAAAACCTGCCAGTGAGCGCTTACAAGCCCAGCACCATGCTATGGCCAGCACCTGGCTCATCTGCGGCCAGGCTCTGGGGTTTCCCAGCAATGCAGGTGGCCTGATACTGGGCCAGTCCACAGCATCACCCTGGATCATGGGGAGGTACATCACCCCTTGTCTCTCCCCTCCCAAGTGTGAGCCTGCCAGCCGCAGGGCAGCTACTGCAATGTGAAGTGGTTTCAGCAGAGCAAGTTGTGCTCTGGGCTAACTAAAATTAACCCAGAACACCTGTACCGGGGAAAACAGACTTTGGGGGTTGTGCTATTTTTAAATCTATGCTGTATTTTATTGTCTGAGTCATCCTTCCTCCAGCTGATGTTGCCTCTGAAAGCGAGCAGAGGGACTGAGTCCCAGGCCAGGGCAGCACCCCGCAGTGCAGCCCATCTCATGCCTAACTGCCTGCCAGGGTGCCCTGGCTCTTCCCACCGCTCCATGCTGGGAGCAGAGCAGGCAGGGGCTGCCCAGGGCATGGTATTTGCCACCTCCAGCCTGAGACCATCTAACAGGTCAGAGCAACCTGGAGCTCATCCTTGCGTGTATGTGGGCAGCCAGGCACCCACCCCGGTGGGTCCTGGCCAAGCTTGTCAGGCTGATCCCGGCAGAGAGGGCAATCAGCCATGGCCACAGCCCCCCCAGCACTTAGCACCAGCCCTGTCGCTTCACCACATTTCCCTGCCCATGATCCCTGAGGGTCCATCCCCTCCCCGGGCAGCGGGGATGCTGCAAACGTGGGCCAGGCTCACGTCAGCCCCGTCCAGCAGGACCAGGCAGCTGCTGCATTAACTTTTGCTCGGAGTAATAAAAAGCACGAAGAAGCATTTTTCATGTGGGTTATCTGACCAAGCGGTTCAAACCGTCAATGCTTTGAAAAATTCCTGCCGTTAAGACATTTATCTTCCCTTTTCAGAAATTGCTGCCGACAGCAGCCCCAGGGCTTGCGGGCAGAGTTAGAAAAGTCCCTTCTGTATCTCCATTACTGGCCTGAGCCAGAGCACCATGTCCCCAGCATCACCAACCAGAAAGGGAACTGGAACAATCCCTTGAGTAGATACAGGATTAGATAGAAAACTGGGCTGAGAAATGAGGGATAAGACCAAACAGGAGTAGGGAGGGAGGGAAGTGCCCTGGCTCCCACAGACCAAAAGATGTAATTTTTGCAGTGTTCTGAGTTTCTTGTAATGAACAGGAAATATTCAGAGGCTTAGGGCTTTGCTTCCTACCCAGTGCCACCGCCAGCAATGAATGAAGCTCTCAGAGAACTTCTGAAAGCAGAGGTTGGATTTACATGTTTCCCTGCATCTTCCCAGTATCAGAGGTAACATCTGCTCCAAAAGATGCCCAGCCCTGTGCCCACTCTTGGGGCAGAAAACACCCAAAGCCACCAAAGAAAGAGCTGGCCTGTGAGGAAGGGAGAATACGGCTTCATCAGGGCTCTTGCTCACTCTGCCCGGACTCACTCCTTCCCCTCCACCTCCCCTTCTCCCACAAATTTCACCCTGAGCAAAACCACACACAGGACCCTGGCTCCTTCAGGATGAAGCCCCAAACCAGGAGGAGCACCCCGAGGGCACAGCCCGAAGCCGTGAGAGCCCAAGCAGAAAACCCCAGACCCCACAAGGCGCTGGCAAACCCAGAGGCTCAACACCAAACCCTGACCACGGCCAGTGTGCCCATAACGTGGTGCCGGTCCCCTTCTCCATCCTTTAACCCCACTTTTACACTGAGCATCCCCATTTCCCTTGCTTCAGCAGCGCGTACCCATAAGCTTTGGGGTTTTGTGCCTTCTTGATGCCAGAGCTATTTTTAACTACAAAGCTCCCAACCCTTAGACATTTTCCACCGGCTGCGAACGACACGGGCTGTGCCAGCGAGCGTGCCATGCTCTGGTACCTACCCCGGCGGCAGCTGGCCAGCATGGGACCACAGCAGAGCAGGACGGCACAGAGGCCGGTCAGGGCCACCTCCATACTGCCCCACATCGTCTTCGAGGCTCCTGAAGCCATGGCGAGGTGGTCGGTCCCCTGCTCGGTCAGCCGTGCCGTGCCGTCCTTCTCTCTGTGCTTCCTTCCCCACAGCGGCAGCTTATTCTCCGGCGTGCACGGCAGGGGCTGGGGTGGAAATGAAACGTGCCCATCTCTGCCCCAGAGGGAAACCCGGGCTGCCTCCCGCCCCCAGCTTCCTCCCCACAGAGGCAGGGATCAGCTGAGCTGAGCCTGGCCCCTTCCCCTCCTGGCACGCTCTCAGGGCGCTCCCACGCAGGCACCCCCCCTCCCCGAGCAGCGGGCATGGGCACTGCTAAACCCCCACCCTTTTTGGGAAAAGCTCCCAGGGATGGAGCAGGCAGGGAACACAGGGGACATGTTCTCGGCTCCAAGCCAGGCCCGTGAGTAAAAGGGTTGTTTCAGGCTCCTGAGTACCCATGGGTGCTGGGTGCCCATGGCCGAATGGCAGCAGGCAGCTGGGCAGGGTCTGAGCAGCCATGGGGCACCCTGAGTGTCATTTGGCAGGCTGCTCCCACAGGGAATGGATGGGAGAGGAGGGAGAAGGAGAAGGAGGAGAAAGGAGAAGGAAGTGATGGAGAAGGTGAAGGCGAAGACAAAGGCAAAGAAAGAGAAGGAGGAGAAGGAGAGGAGAAGGGGAAGGAGGAAAAAGGAGGAGAAGGAAGTGATGGCGAAGGTGAAGGTGAAGGCAAAGGCAAAGAAAGAGAAGGAGAAGGAGGAAAAGGAGAAGAAAAAGGAAGAGATGAAGAAAGAGAAGGAGAAAGAGGAGGAGAAGGAGAAGTTTTGCCTCCTTACTTGTGTTTCTCCACAGACAGATTCACAGGGAACAGGGGCTGTTATTGGGGTGGCCTTTGCAGCAGAGTTATTTAATTTCTCCACCAGCGACGTTCCCCGCTCGCCTTGCTGACTAATACTCGCATAGGAAATAACCAAAGGTGAAAGCACGCCGTGGCTGGTTCCTCCGCTTCTCTTGAACGTAACCTTGGTGCCCCACAATTTTGGAAAGTGTCAGGGGAAAATTAATAATGAGGGTGAAGGATGCAATTCTCATGATGATTTCATTATTTTCCGAACTTTCAGAAACAAGCTGTAGGGCTGGGGCTTGTTCACTTCTCGCTTTCAGATATGGCCCCTGCAGGTGAGCGGGCTGGGGGAGCCACCCCTCATTTAGGATGGTCAAGGAAGGGGTTCTGAGCCAGGGCAAGCAGGGCTCACCCTCACTTGGTGGCTCAATCCAGCCTGTCCTGGATCCTACTTTCCTGGCATTGCAGCATCACTCCTTTCTCATGAGCTTCTGGCCCGGCTTGGGCTGCAGAGCAAAGCTGGGGGGCTGTCCCCTCCTTGTCACCTTGTCATGCCACCTGGCTAGAGGCCACCGCCTGGAAGAGTGGCAAGGGGAACGCTCTCCACCATGTGCAATGGTGCTGGTGGGTTCTGAGGTGGACATTGCCTCTTGTTCGCAATTTCCTGCATTCTCATCAAAAAACCCCTAACTAAACAAAACTAAAATGAATTCCAGAAAATATGGAAGCTCACAGCAAGGAGGCTTTTCCACCTCAAGACTTTTTGTCCCCAGATGGTGACACCAAGCACCTGGGCCGAGTGTGGGGAGGCTTGTTTGGCACTTGCGACATGTTTTGGTTTTCTAGAGGTGGAAGATGTGACCGGTATCATCGCTGAGATCACGACTCACCGAGCCAGGGATTGGCAGGAAAGACTGGCTCACCCTTCCCTCCCTGTGCAGCAATGGTGAGCTCTGATTAAAATCGTAGCACAAACTGCTCAAACTTTCCAATGCACGCTCAAAATGGAGCATAAGTTGGCACCCAGGGCGGGGAGGGAGGCTGCCGCATTCACTAGAAACCAGCGGTGGCTGGATGCAGACCACACGGCAACGTTTTCGGATCCTCAGATTCCTTCAGAAACACGTGTCCCAAGGCTCACCCCCTGCTCCCCAGCAGGCTGGGGACTGGCACTGACGCGGGAACCTTTCCAGGCTGCTTGGGGGGCAGGATGAGGCTGTGTGAGGCCAGGAAGCACTGGGGATCTCACAGAGCTCTCAGCAGAAACCACAGGGGAGGGCAAGCCAGGAGGTCTCCCGGCTCTTTCTCTGATGGAAAGCTTGCTCCAACACAAAGGAAAGAACAGGGTGGGGGTTTTCCCCTTTTTGCTGAAAAAAAAAAAATGAAAAGGGTGAAAAGAAAAGAATAAAAGAAAAGATCCATCTTACTGCTAGGAAGCTGCTGTGGGGGAAAGCGAGGTGTGAGCAGTGGTGCCATGCCCCAACCAAGATGTCCCCCCAGCGCTGGCACCATGGAGGATCATGGCTCTGGCCCTGCAGCAGCTCCCAGGCTTCAGGCAGGCTTTGTGCCCTGCCTGCACCCTGGCAGACCCACACAGCTCCTGCTGGCTCCTGCACCAACTTCTCCATCACCAAGGAAAACAGCCTGGCTCCAGCCGTGCTGCGGTTCCCACTCATGCTGGTAAATCCCCTCCAGCCCAAACTGGGTGGATGTCACACCTTGGGGTTAGCTGAGGGGGGCCTGACAAAGGTCCTTTGATGCTTAAAAAAATAAATTCTCTTTCTCTGAGCTGCAATATGGCAAATTGCATGGGGAAGTCTCCACTTCCGTTTGGCCACTGAAGGAGTGAAACAAGGGCTAAGAAGGAAGGAGAAAAGGGAATAAGAGAGAAAACACGTTGTTCTTCAGAACTAAGAAACGGGAACTTCAGCAAGCACATGTCACACCACTTCATTGAAGCACAAATGTCCCTTTTTCCCCCAACAAGAAGTTGGCCCAACATGTCAGTGAAGGTCCTACCAACGTGGCTGGAACCCAGAAAAATCCCCAATCTTCTGCAGCCATCACTGTCAGGGCAAACAGCCATCAACCCTGAGCAGTCACCTCAAAGGATGAAGAGTCAGTCTCAAAATGGCTTAAAAGCATCTGGGGTATTTAAGGAGCACTGAAAATTTGGAAGATGAAGAAGAAAGCAAAGACCACATACCTTGGAGGGAGCCAAATAAAGCCTGGAGCTGAATGTCCTCAAAGCCCAAAGAAAGCAAAGCTTCCCAAATGAGATGAGGAACACAAATTACCACAAAAAGAAGAGAAGGGAAGAGAAGCCCACAGGTTCCCGAAGATCCCTCCCCCGCTGGTTTAACTGAATTCACATCTGTGAATTCCTGGCTCAGGCAGGAGGCATGTGGCTGGGGCAAGAAGAGGAAATGGTTAATAGTGTTTGCAAATAAACATAGAGAGCGTTTAGGTCTTTCAGATACTTCTCGGAAATTAGAAGGGCCCCTGCAAATGATTTGCATGAGCAACGGGGGGTGAGTAAGCAGCAAGTAAGCAGAGGGATGGAGCGGAGGCATGAAACCGTTCCTTTAGCAAGCGGAAATCTGCAGGGCCTGGGCAGAGCAATGGCAACTGTGACGTGAAGGTCCCACACAGATATGGCATGGGGCCATCACCTCCTTCAGCATGGCAGTAGGCTGCTGTTCCTGCTGGTGGGCAGAGCTGATGCCCAGCCCAGTGGTACTAAGGGTGGACCATCTCCAGCGAGCAGTGCTGCTAGAGCCTGTGGAAATTGAGAGATCATGATGATGTTGATGATGATGAGGGTCTGAGCATCCCACCCAAGCAGGTTGGGCCAAGACATGGTGCCAGCTGGGATGCATACACGCATCCCAAGCAAAACTCCAGCACATACACCTCCTGGCACCTGAGGGGCACCTCCAGGCAGCACCCTGCCCGCAGAGCCCCAGTCTGGGGGTGTCCCCCAGCCCTGCTGCATGCGATGGCCCCCTCCAGCCCACTGTCCCCAGCAGCAGCACGCTCCGCCCCGGCACCGGCTGCGCCTTCACGCTGTTTCCATTCGAAGGCCGGGGACCTTTCTCGGCAGCGTCACCCGCTGCACGTAGGAAACGCGATGGCGGAGATCGCTGCACCAAGATAAAAGAGCGGAGGAAGCAGGATGTCAGCCTCTCAGGAGGGGGCTGTGTCATACGCACGCCGTCCTTCTCCAGCCTTCCTGGGGACAGCCAGCAGCTGCAGGCAGGGACTAGAGCACAAGGGTGTGATGGGGGAAGGACATTGGGGAGTGACAATTTTAGGCCTTTTTGGAAGAAGTTCCTGGAGGAAGGCTGGAATCTCCGTGCTGACAGTTGGGACGCATGGCCCAGAGACAGGGAGGGAGCACAGTGTCTGGAATTGCGGAACAGGCTTTGTCAGGGCGAGGATGGCAAGCTGTGCTCTCCTCCACCTGGACCCATGGCCCTTGGGGTGGCCAGGCACTCCCAACATGTCACCTGGGGCTGGGACACCAACACAGCCCCTCTCTGGCCGAGGCCATGGGCTTGTGTCCTGCTTTGAGCGACACAGGACTAATTTCTCCTTCAGTAATTTTACTTTTCAGTAAGGTCTCTTCTAATGCTAGGGAAAACTGCAATTTTAGAAGACTCTAGTGTCTGAATTTTGTGAAAATATTTACTTTATAGCCAGATATGGTATGGGGGTTTCAAGGTTTTGGTGTCTTCAAGCCTTGTCAGGTGTGCGGATGAGGAGGAGTGAGACCTGGGCACTTGACCCAAAGTGGCCAAAAGGATTATTCCATACCATGAACATCACATTCAATATACATTAGAAAGTTTGCTGAGGAGTTCTCTCTCTCCCTTGATAGCTGCCATCCTGAGAACTTCTTGCCCCGTTACTGGACCCCTGAACCCTTCCCTTCCTCCCAAAGCCGTAGTGCTGGCAATGTCCAGTGTTTGCTGTCCCCTGCTGGGAGTGCACCGCTTCCTGCTGACCGAATGGGCCGAGTATAATCCCTGTATATTTTTCCTGGAGCGTGTCCAGAGAAGGGCAACAAAGCTGGTGAGGGGTCTGGAGCACAAGTCTCGTGAGGAGCAGGTGAGGGAACCGGGGTTGTTCAGCCTGGAGAAAAGGAGGCTGAGGGGAGACCTTATTGCTCTCTACAACTAACTGAAAGGAGGGTGTAGCAAGGTGGTGGTCAGTCCCTTCTACGAAGTAACAGGCAGTAGGACAAGAGGAAATGATCTCAAATTGCACCAGGGGAGGTTTAGATTGGACATTAGGAAAAATTTCTTCACCGAAAGGGTTATCAAACATTGGAATAGGCTGCCCAGAGAAGTGGTGGAATCCCCATCCCTGGAGAGCTGTAGATGCGTTGCTGAGGGACAGGGGTTAGTGGTGGACTTAGCAGGTTTAGGTTAATGGTTGGACTCGATGATCTGAAAGGTCCCTTCCAACCTACACGATTCTATGGTTCTATGTTGGTATCGGGTTCAATATTGGTTCCTTAGTATTATTAATGCTAGTTATCTAGTCTTATTCTATTAAATCTGTTTATATTTCAACCCTCGGGCTTCCATGTTTTTTCCCCAATTCTCCTTTTCAGGTGGTGAGGGGTCCTCAGGTGATAGAATAATTGTCTACATGACAATAAATTCTTGTGGGTTCCTCAGGCCATAGCAGCTTCCAAAGACACCTCTGGGCACCCTCTGGGGACCTCTCCGCCCTGCCAGCACCTGGGGCATGCAAGATCCATGGCTGTTCCCACACTGGGAGAGGGACGGGCGGGCGGGGGCTCGGGCTGCTGCGGCTTTTGGGGTAATTTTGGGTGGGAGGGGAGGCCACCGGGGACCCCTCAGCAGCGTGACGAGACCTCCCCAGCCCTGGAGCCGCTCCCTCTCCCCATCAGATCCTCCCCGCCACACTCGCCTCCTCTGGCAGCGGGCTCAGCGAACCCTTCGTTTGCCATATTTACCATTCATTTACCATTTTATTGTGTGATTTTCCGCGAATGGGGGGGGGGTTGGGGCACCCCTACCACCACGGCCTGGCGCCGTGACGTACGGCGGCGCGCCGTGACGTAACGGAGGCGCGCCGTGACGTGACGGAGGCGTGAGGCGGAAGTAGCGGGGGTTGCCGGGGTAACCAACGCCGGGGCGGCCTGCAGGGCCTGGGGAGGCCGCGGCCATGGGCGAGCTGGGCCCGGAGGATGGGGCCGGGAACACGTACA